AAAGTCCTTCTAGAAACAGTGGTACCATTCAAGGCGGTCTCCACGCTGTCTGGACTGAACGTGCTTAAAACTGACCCTTTATTGTGTGCGCGCTCACTGGGTCCTTCAGCGGTTGCCTGGCTGGCCCCTCTAACCACAGCTCCCTGGCAGCTGCTCTCCACAGCCTCTGCTTTCCAGGGGTCCCTTCTGCACAGAATCTCCCTGTAGGGAACCCACTTCCTTCTGGGACACACGAGTTAACGTGTCTGCAGGTCACTTTGTTCTCTGTCTCATGTGGTCACCCACCTCCTTAGCTCTGACACACTCTGAGGTGCAGTTCCCTCTCCTTACCGCTGTTCTGGGAACCAGAATCTCCCACCATTGGACCCCCTGTCACACCTGGGCCCCCCGCCATCTTCTTTTACTGCAGGGAGCATGCATCTAGCTCTCCTCATGCATCAGGCGAGGTACTCTTAGCACCTGATATCCTGGAGCCACCAGGCCAGACAAGTCTTCCTGGTCCACGGATACGTTTCGAACAAATTGAGCTCGAAAGGAGGGAGCGGGCTATTTTTAGTCACCTGGAGGTTTGGAGACAAAGGAAAAGATAGGGAGGATGTCCCAACCTGTTCTGCTGGCCCTCTAGCCTCTGATTTAAGCCAGGGGATCCATCTCTGCAGTGGGGCGAGGGGTGGGGGTGCTACTTCTCCATCAAGCACAGTACCAGGGTCTATGTACTTCAAGGTCCCCCTAAATCTTTTACTTTCTTTTAAAAACCAGAAGAAAAAGAATGAACATTTAGTCCACGGAAAATATGTTGGTATACATTTGTCTTTATTCCAACCCAGTCGTAAAATATTTTCAGTAATTGCTTTTTTTTTCTTATCCAGGAAGGGCCCCTGAGGACAATAGCTGAGGGCCTAGGGTGCCAACTTGTCCTGGCCTGCACAGAACTTGCCTGTCTTAGCACTGAACGTTCTGCATTCCAGACATCGATCAGGGCGTCTAACTCGTCCCCTTTTGCCAGGGACTGTCCTGATCGTAAAATTGCAAGCGTTGCACCCAGGAACCCTGTCAGTTCCCAGGGCTGCTGGTCACCCTCCTGGGGCCCACAATAGCCATAAAGTGGTCCCGTGTGCTGACAAGGGATGTAGAGTTTCTTAGTCTCCTTCTTATGCAAAAAGCAAGAAAGGGCCACTTTAGGTCTCTAAGCAGGTCTGTTGTATGTTATTGTGTAACAGACCACCCCAAAACCCATTGCCTGACACAACGACCATTTATTTGCCCATGATTTCATGGGTATGTCCTTGGGTAGGGCTCAGCTGAGATGGCTGGTCACTGTGTGTGGGTAAGGAGAGCAAACATAAAAAGGGACGTACATGAGCACACTAAAAAAAGATAGACTATAAAAGCATTCGTATGGCAGAAGACGTTCATTCCTGCACAATATTTATTTTTTATTTTTTATTATTAGTTTCAGGTGTACAAAANCTTGGTACAGACTGAAGGTTTGGGTGCTACTAACACAGTCTACTGGAGGCTATTGAAATGAGGTGAGAAGAGGAAAAAGAGAGGAAATAACAATAGCTAAGATTTAGTTGACACTTTTCTGTGCTAGCCACACCCAGGTGCTTTACAAGTGCGACCTCACTTAAGTAAAAATCATTTTGTGCAGATGTGGCTGTGTTATCGTTTACAAATGAGGCATTGGAGGCAGGGAGGTTAGGCCTGCAGTTAAAGGATAAACACATTGATATAATAATATAATATAGCACAATACAGTGTAATACACGCAGCACGAAAGGCTATTATTTACAAAGGACTGGTGCACATCGTGACAGATATTGGGGGTGGGGCTGTGATCAGCAGCAGCAAGTGGGGGTGACATTTGCCCAGAGGACCCTGTGCCTGGAGCCCAGAGCCTGGCAGGGAGGGAGTAGCAGGGGAGGTACAGCTAATCTGGGGACCACCGGCGACCACTGAGCATGGCAGGGGAGTCAGGGGGCTTGGTTATGGAGTGTCCGTCATGCCTTGTGACAAGATTTGGACATTTTCCTGTAGGTGAGGGGAGCTTTCTCATGGGTCTTCACACAGGCCTGGGCACAGTCTTTGTTGTGTTACTCTAATAGCAATATACTAACTTGAGTTAGCACTTCAAAAATCAGTGTGATTTAAGTCTCTGTCTCTTGCTGTTGGCTTTGAACCTGCTTCTTTTGATACTACAGAATGAGAGGGAGCTGGGATGTGCAGAACATGTTAACGTGCTAACGTGCTCGCTAGGGCAGTGTGAGGGTGCAGAAGGCCAGGGTCATCTGGAGTCCTGGGCAGCACTGCCTGGAGACTGCTGACCTGTCAGGAAATGAATAACAAACGGAAAACATAGGAAAATCTGACAAAAGTTTGGAGGAAGGGCTTACCTGATTGAAACCTAGCTGGCAAGTTTCTTGTGTTTTGATTTATTCAAAAATTTGGGCACGGTTTTACCATCTACTGCTTCTTTATGAATTTTTTGCAGACTTTTCATTTTGTTGATCAATCGTTCTATTTTGGTTTTTACTACCGAATGGCTCTAATTACTGCTTTAAAAAAATCATTTTAACATCTGTTGTACCAATGCCCCTCATTATTCTTATTCAAACTTTCCTGGCTTTTCTTGTGTATTTAATCATATGGAGGAGCCTAAGCCATGTCTTCTAAAATACATATTTTTTTCCCCTTAAAAAAAAAACTTATGAATTTCAATATGATGATGTTAACTTTGTAGAATCAATTAAGGGAAGCTGACATTAAAAAAAAAAAAAGTCAGGCCAGCTGAGTGGCTCAGTTGGTTAAGAGTTAGCTTAAGAGTGACAGTGAGCTCTGAGCAACAGGGCCGCCGGTTCAATTCCAACATGGGCCAGTCATGCTGCACCCGGGCTGAGCTGCCGTTTAGCTGCCAACAGGTGGCAGGATAGCTCAGCTGATGAGAGCACGTCTTCCTAACAACAAAACTGCCTGTTCAATGGTGGACTATGTCTACCCGCAACTAAGACTGAACTCGGCATCTTGAGCTGAGCTGCCACCTGGATGGCTCAGTGGATAGAGCGTGTGCTCTTAACAACAAGGTTGCTGGTTCAACTCCCACATGGGGTTGTGGCTACGCCCACCCGCAACTAAGATTGTAACACAGCACCTTGAGCTTAGAGGCCATGAGCTGCCAATGTGCAGCCAGATGGCGACTGGTGCCCTCCACAACTAAGATTAAAGAATAACAACTTGGCTGATCCCCTTCCCCAATTCCCCAACACTGTTCCCCTCCCCCAAATAAAAAAAAGATGATATCTTACCATCCAGAAAAAATGGTGTGACTCTTCGTTTATTTAAATATGTATAGTTTCTCAATGAAGCTTTATTCATTTGGATCTGGCAGGTTTCTTGTTACGTTTTTTTTCTAGTCATTTGTTGTGAGTGAAATATTTTTTATAACTTTTTTTCCCAATAACCACTTTTTCATATGTAGGAAGACTATCAAAGTTTTGCTTATTTATTTTAGAACAAGTCTCCTTACTGAATTGTTCTTTTTTCTTTTTGTTCTCTTTTTATCATGTCATGGAAGTTTCCTCCTATTTCTTATTTATTAAGCTCTTTTCTTCTTCTCCTTCCCCTTCCTCCCTTTTTTTTTTTACCAGAAATGGATGGTGAATGTTGCCAGAAGACTTTCTAGCAATGATTAAAATAATATTTTTTCCTTTTGATCTGTGATGGATTATGAAAATGATAAATGATATAAATGTTCTTAATATTTAGTCATCCTCTGTTCTTTGCTCATGGCATATCATTCTTTTCACGTACTGCCGGGTTTCATTTATGCACAAGGCTATCTGAAATCTAAACATTTGTTATTTCCTGGTAACATCGTCAATGTCAGCGAGTTTCTGAAGTTGGGGGGGCTCCTGCTTCTCTCTCCTGTCCTGCTCTGAGGAGGGTGCTCATGTTGGCATGGCACTGTTATCACCGCCAGCCTCCCGCCAACTGAGGGGCTGAGGGCACAGCTGTCACTGGAGATGAAGAGTCACAGGGAGCTCTGTGGAATTTATCTCAGGGAAGGCACTAGATGGTCCCTGGTGGGCAGGCAGACTGAAAACCCTCTGGGTTAGGGTGAGTGACAGCCTGCATGGCAGAGATGTGCTCTGGGCTGCTCCGGACATTGGATTTACTGAGGGTTTTACGCCAGAACTCAGCTGTCCTCTACACAAATGGAAAACAGTGTCTACAGAACATAAGGATTGTTTTAGCAAAGCAGTTTGGAGCAGTGCTTAACTTTCGGCCTTCCCTGGAGAACCCTCATGTCTCTTTGGCCGAGTCTGGAACTGACTTGAGAGAGAAAGAACAATCTGGAAGGTGCTGTCATATGGGAAGGGGGACCTCAGCGTGGTCAGTCCCAGAAATGCGTNAAAAAACCGACATGTCTGCCTACTGCACGTCCCATTCCCTCATTTCCACAGAGGTTTCCAGCCCCAGACCATGGGGCCCCTGCAGGCGCTGTTACCTGCCTGGATGCTGTGGGTGCCCTTGTTTCCACAGTCACAGAGTTGGCCCCTGCTCATGCTCAGCGGGCCACTCAGAGACCCTTTCCAATAGGGAAGCTGTTTTTGGAAGAGCAGCCTTCATTTAAGCCCAGCATGTACACTGTGCGTGGCCTTCTGAGCACGTCTCACGGGCCGAAATTTTAAACTGGTGTGGTTGGTTATCTGCCTTATGCAAAGAGGCTGGCAGCTCCCAGAGGGCACAAGGTCATGTCTACCTGGCCCTTCCTTTCATCTCCGATCCTGGTCAAGTGCCTGGCTCATACTAGCTGCACAGTAAACACTCCCCGTGTAGACGGGTGAACACGTGATTCCAAGGCTTACACCTTGTTTGGATAAAGTGCTTTAGAACAGTGCTGGCACGTCACATGATCTTTGACTTGTGTCCCTCTGGGGTGCCCCAGCACGGCCCCCTCTGGGGCCCCTCACTTTGCCTCTTGGTGTCTACGTCCTCAGGTACCACGTATGACTTCACCCACTGCACCTTCACTGGGAACGAGTCCAAGCCGCTGTGCGTGGAGCTGGACGAGCACAACCTGCCGCGCTTCCCCGAGTGGGTCACCATCCCACTGGTGTGCATCTACATGCTGTCCACCAATATCCTGCTGGTCAACCTGCTGGTCGCCATGTTTGGGTGCGTGCTCAGGCGGCCGTTCACTAGGTGTCTGTGCCACGCCGGCCCCGTGCCAGGTGGGGCTCATGCAGCGCAGCAAAGGCCCGCCCTTAGGGGCCTGGTGGTGTGGCGGGGGTGGGGCCTTAGTGGGACTGTATTAAGAATACAGTGTATTCCTATTAGCTGCGCTGTAAGTCGGTTTGATACCAAAGACCAGCACCTGTCACACGTGCCAGGACCCTCAGGCTCTGTATGCTTGGCATCCACTCAGTCATGTCCTGTGAGCTCCGTGATGTTGGCACAATGGCGGCCGCAGTGCAGCTATTTCATCTCCAAGGTTCTTACTTCCTGTGGGATTCAGTGGTGTGGATGCTAGGGCTCAAAGCAATCGGCCTTTACCTAGTTGCTGCTTTAAAAATTTCAGTTTAACTACAAATGAAGAGTCAGGAGAGTGACTCTCCTTTGGGACTTATGTCTAATGAGGCTGAGGGAGAATGTGACGGTGACTCTAAAATATTCATATTGCCTTTGGTAATCCTCCTGATACACTTTCAAAATTGTAGTGGTTTCCACACCCCTTCACCTTGCTTAGGAGGGTTTCCAAGAGCCCCGGGTGACAGTTTCAATGGGTGGGGGCACCTTAGTTGTATGCTGTTGCTGTAAGGTAGGAAGTCATTTTGAGTACATGGATCCTGGCACAGACGGGCAGACACCATTTAGCAACAAGATAAAAATTCAAAAATCATTTGTTAAACCCTGAAGTGGAAGGGAAACGCTTAGCTGGGGCTGGGTGGGTCACTTGCCTCTGGGGACATCAGCCCTCAGGGAGGCTGAGCACTGATTGGTGGTCTGGTTTTTCTGTGTAGAAAAGTCCCCTTCTAGTCCAGCTACCACGCTGTGGCCACACTGATGTTTCTAACATGTCACTGCTCTGCTTAAAGCTGTGGAAGGATTTCAGTATCTCCCCATAGCGTTCAGGGCAAGTTCCAGGCTCTTCAGTCCCCCTCCTCCCGCCCGCCCCCCCCTATACACACCTTCCTAAAGGGATCTGTCCCAGGGCTTGGAATGCCCCCCCACACACACACACCCCTTCCTGACGCCATCTTTGATCTGAGCTTTGAACAGACCTCTAGGCTTAACCTCTGCTATTTGTCCTGGGCAGGCACCCATGTGTCCGTCCCTACACAGGTGATCTGCCGTGCCTGGCGATTTTGCAGGGATTACCTGTTCCACCTCGACTTTCTCCTGCCCTGTCCCTTGCCTGCCCTTTAAGGAACCGAGTATCATCCTTTGCCCAAGTGGTCCCTGATGCCCTCCCCACTTTGCAGAGAGACTCCTTGGGCCCCTGGCACTGTGACAACCTGCTCTCCTTCCAGACAGTGAGCTCTGGAGAATGGAATGGAGCCTGTACCTGTCTCAGCACCTGGCACCTGTGGGCTCGTTCACGGAATGAAAAGGACACGTTCTTTCCCATGTTTCGTTCGTTACTCAGTTACCATTAGGTGCTTAGCTGCCAGGTCTGTTATTTGCTGAGACGCTTCCATGGTGAATAACAAAGGTGTCATCGCACAGATGGGTAACATTTGCTCTGTGCCAGGTGCCTGGGCCACAAAGACCATGTGGCCATTGGTTCCATGTGGACTTAAAGGGGGACTTGCAGCCCCGCCCTGGCACCGCTGGCCAGGGAGGACTCAGGAGTCGAGAAGCCCGTGTGGCTCATGGGAAGCTGGACCATGTCATGCCGCCAGAGAGTCCCCAAATCTGAGCTTGCAGACAGGAGGCAGTAATGGCTGATTCTGTGTCC